TCAGGAGTTTCTTTTTGCTTTTGTTTTTAAAAGATTTAGCATTAGTGGTAGAGTGCCCCAAAAACACCGGCCATATTTAAGCATAACCTTGATTATTGAGAAATACAAGATTGAGTCTAACGTTTTCACCCATGCATGACCTGCTCTAGGACTCTTTTCAGTGGTGCCCAGCAACAGGACAAGGGGCAACGGGCACAAACTGAAGCAGGGGAAGTTGCACCTGAACATGAGGAAGAACTTCTTCCCTCTGAGGGTGACAGAGCCCTGGCACAGGCTGCCCAGGGAGGCTGTGGAGTCTCCTTCTCTGGAGATATTCAAGACCCGCTTGGACAAGGTCCTGTGCAGCCTGCTCTGGGTGACCCTGCTTCGGCAGGGGGTTGGACTTGGTGACCCACAGAGGTCCCTTCCAACCCTGACCATTCTGTGATTCTGTGACAAGAGGCGATCCCCTGCAACTCCTCCACCCTCCTGGCAGTGCCAGGCTCCTCTGGTGTCCTCAGAGCTGTCACCACACGTGCCACGGTGCCAGGGAACAGCAACCCATGCCAGGTGTGTAATCTCTGCCTTGAATCTGTACTGCCAGTTTTGTAGGGCTGATGCAAGATGATTAATGCCATTCTCAAACTCCTTGCGGATGGATTAATTAGTGCAATGACATATTCATTTTCATGCTGCTGAACCTGTTCTAGCAGCAAGGAAATTACCATATATCGCCTGAGGGAACCTGTAAAATACACAGTAATAACAAGCAGAGGGCTACCATTGCCCTTTTGTCCACTGCCACATATAGAGAGCAGCTTTACAACACACACAAATAATTGCTCTCTTTGAGCATAAACATGCAGGCAGAACGCACCCCGGAGAGGCCAAATTCTGAACAAAGACATGGATAGAAAACCGGTGAGATTTCCCACTTCTGTCAAGCATCCCTTAATGCTTTGCCTTTTAAAAATGCAGTTACTGGAAGCTGTTTGTTGAATTGCTGCTGTTTTGTGGAAGCTGTCTGCTGCCAGCACACAGCATGGGGGTCCCCAGGCTCCCTGCCTGTCACACACACAGGACCCTGTCCCCCCAGTCACGGGTTCACCCAGAGAAGCCTCCAGGACCCAGTCCCTCGCCTGCAGACCCACCATACCAGTCCCACAATCAGCTACAAGAAAATGCACTTAGTCCACAACATTTTTGGCTTGAAACACAGCAGACATCCCAAGATTCGATGCTATTGCTCAGTAATAGGCTGAAGTGACCTACAGGGAGCAACACAAAGCATCCTCCTGCCTGGGGCCGAGCAGCTCTGAACACATCACTCAGGAGATACAATCTCTTTTAAAAGCCTGGAATGGAGGAAATGAAAGAAGAGCAGGACTGGGGATCATTCCTGTCCATTTGTTACACGCTGGCTGATTACGTGGAAGGTATCTGGTTTTTATGTTGTGCTTCAGAAGGTGATGAACACTTTTCAGGGTATCAGCCACAAAGCCTCAAGAAAAATCCTTGGGTGTTAGTTTCCAAGATCAAAGCAACTTAATTTCAAGCCTTCATCCTGTCGCTATTATAAAAAAACATTGCTTCCCTTGTGCAGCAGACAGTCCAGACACACATCAGAGCTACACTACCATTCAGCTCTTATAATACATGTAAAAAACCCAACCGCCCCCTCCCCATCAAAAACTCTCAAAACCCACTGTTTAGAAACAAGAGGGCCTTGCGACTGCATTTGTATCCCTCACTTGTATTTCCCATCTCTTCCTTGCTCAATGCACTTGTAAACTTAGTGGAACGACTCCTCCCTTTCAAAAGGGTTAAATTCACTCAAGGAAAAAAGCCTTGTGATTTTGAATCCCATTTAATCTCTTTTTCATTTTCCTTATATCATTAAAAGCAACTCTCCCTAGGATTATCGGTATTGGTCATAAATGAAGGCAATACATTAATTTTTCTTCACTTCATTTTACATTAAGCCTCTCCAAATGTGGGCAAAAGGAGAAATCTTCTTTTCAACATGTGATCCGGCAAATAAAACCTAGAAATCATAAAGCTTATCCTGTTTTTCTGTGTGACACCAATAATTCAGCTTTGGTTCCTCCTGGGGAAATATTATGAAGCCACCTTTTGGGAACCAACAAGGCGGAAAAGGGAGCTTTCTGTAAAGACTGGTGTGACTTTTTGCTTTTGGATAGAAAGATTTGTTGCTGTGCTTCCAACTGATTCCAGGCTCATTTCAGGGAAATTGGGTAAGACAGAGAGGTGTATTTAATTTCAGAGATTTAGAGATCAGCAGAAGTTCCCTACCCATCCAGAGCCTCTGAGAATGATCTGATTCCAGTCTGGTTTAGCTTTTGAATGCAAACTGACCCCATATCTGACAACAAGGAGGACCCACCTCTCCATCTCACCAGCCATATTTAACAGCACAGGTGTAGCTTTCAAAGCAGGCAGTGAAGCTACAGGTGAGGACATGCACAAAGCAGCATTTGCTTTTTGCTCTACAGAACGGATTATATCCATCTCTCTTCCTCACAGGATCATCAGAGGGATGGATCAGCTCTTCAGAGCCGTTCCAGCTCTATCTGCAGGGCTTCCATAAAGGACAAGTTCCACTCACTAGCAATACTTCAGCACTTCTCCCAAATTATGAAGTGTCTGTGACACAGTTCATAACGTGACCATCATAATCACAGAGGAGACTGAAATGCCTCGAGGATCCATTTTGGAGAAAAATTGTGCAGTGGCGCTGCATTTGCAGAAGTTTAGCACCTTGCTGTCCAGGCAGTTGCTATAAATGTGACAAAGTGAAACATAACCCAATTTGCATGCTATTATTTTCCATGGCTGATATGACTTGATACACATGAATCACACAAAAATGCAAGATAGTCCAAGAAGTATTTACATAACGGGCTGATTATAACAGCAAAAAGCTATTTGGACTTACTTTCCAAATATTTGCTTTTCAAGAGGATGCAAGAATTATCTTTCATCCCACAGATATCTCCAGTTCTCACCTCTGTACGCATCTTAATTTCCATTAAGACCTGTGAAAGTCTGTGTTCATGTTACAGACAGAACAAATGCGCAAGTCCAGCTGTGGAGAACCAAGGCTGAGGGTGATGAGGCCGCTACTCGCCAGGCACAACGAGGACGCTTGCCAGTGTACATTTTGGTTACCGACATCCTAGGCTGGATTTTAATTTTGCATTAAGCAGTACTACTAATATTACTCAATTACACCATTGTTTACACCCTCCAAGACATTCTTACGCACACATAGATATTTACATTATTAAACACATGACATCATTATCAAAACCAAACAGAAACTTCAGAGGCACAAGCCAATGTAAATATGTGAGCACAGCAGCTCTGCTTGTCTGCAGAGTTCTAAAATTATTTGTCCTCTCTCTGATGCTGAATTCTGGTGAAAAGGAAAAAAAAAAACTCACCCTATGCTTTGGTGGTTTCAATTTGGATTTGTAAATGACAGTCATCTGTGACTGCACTAAAGCCCCCACAGCATGTGAAATTCAGTCCAGGGTATCCATAAAGTTCAAACAATTTTGGATGATTCTCTGGAAAGAGCCAACACCTTGGGGTGAATACTTTCCAATTTACAACCTCACCTGACCATTTCTCTCCATTTTTAGAGAATGACCATGGTAGCTACCCTTCATTCAGAAAATTCTCTCCAGAGTATAGAACTTGCATGCTGGTGCAAAACAGACCTTCAAGCACTTCTGCTCCCCTCCAACTATCCACAGGTTAAAAACTGGGGGTCCAGTCTAGCGTCATGGAGGAACATTATACAGAAGACCTGGCCTAACTGTGTTGCAGCAAGCTCATACACCAGAAGTGAGGACCCCATTTTCTGACCAAAATAACCAGAGCTTTAGAACAAATAGTTAACCCACGTGTTTTCTAGATACTATAGTGTGAATGGGTTTTTCACCAGTCTTTGCTGATAGATATTAATTCGCTGTTCCACAGCGGAACATGTCTACTGTGGACATTTTTATTTGTGATTCAGAGCATCCTCCTCCTGACAGCGGCATCTTTTGACACTTTTGAACACAGCTTCAGTGAAGCAGCTGTATTTCCCATGGTGTCTCCTGTCTTGCAACGTACTTGTCACAAGCTGCTGGCCTGTATTTGTGGGGTGGAGAACACTGTTCTCCAGGGAGTGCCCATTTAATATTCTCAGCTGTGCTGTGACCTTTTCCATTAATAGCTGTCACAACAAGGGCATGCCTTTATTGCCCAGCCACAACAGCAGGGTGGTTAATCACCCACAAGACAGGCATCACCTGAAGCTCTGACATGAATATCCAAGCACACATCTTGTCCCGACTACATCTGAGATGGGAGGACTCAGTCTGGGGGTTTTACAAGCAAAAATTTCCTAGGCCATCTATCAAACACTACAGCACCGATCAATGCAAATCTGAAGGAGAGAAACATTTGGCTTTGCAATCAAGATGATTAAACATCTCTCTAGCAAGAGCAAAAACCAAGCTGAACTTCTTCCTTCCGTACTGACAACTACAGTACAAATCCATAGTGTGGGGTGAGGAGGAGACTGGCAGCATCTGAAGGGGAATGAGTAGACAGTCTTCTTCAACATGATCCGATCTTGCATGGTTTCATAAAAAAAAAACCCCAAAAAAACGAAAAACCAGAACAACCAACCAAACCAAACTTGAAATTCAAGAAGGGAAAATATGGGGGGGGGGGGGGGGGTTTTTGTTTTTAATAGTAGGAAAGATCAGCATAGTCATAAACAGCGTAGTCCAAGCTCCCTCTTCTGGTCTTTTGCGGTAAATATAGTGGAGGAAGCAGGTCTTGGTAATTGACCATTTGGTTTCAAAATCTAGCAACAAAGTGTTCATATAACGTTGACAAAACACTTGTTATTCAGCCTCTTTTACACTACTTATGCTTTCTTAAGCAAAGGATGCACAGACACGGAAATTTATTGTAACATGTGAAATAACTTTGCACAATACCTCTTTTCTTCCCTTGTGAAACCTGTAGTTTCTTCAGCAGGCAGTTCTACACCATCGCCAGGGGCCGCAGACACATGTACATCCCCAGGAATTAGGTTATCAGCTTCTTTGCAGCTAGCAGACTTGGAAGTGCTGCAAAACAATTATTAGAAATAATAAGCTGACAAATTTCAGAAGTGCCCATGAAGCTCCAGTGAAGACCCCTTAAAAGCTGAATTTTGGCTGGATCTAAACTAAGGACCTCTAAGGAGCACATCGTCCCCTGCCCAATACTGTCTTCCTCCCACCTCCCGCAAATTACTTCTTCCTACAAACCCTATTTCACTAAATTTCTTAGATTACCACATAACCAGTAATATTGCAAGTTTTGACAGCTCTTATAGGCCATAACATTAACTGCCAGAGAAATTTAACTGTGTATGAAATTAGTAAAAATAAATAAATCACTGATGACTACTGTACAGCTCTCACACAGCCCTTTCTCCTCAGCGTACAATACAAACATTCAACGAAGTGACTTGAGTGACTCGTCTTTTACAAAACACTAAAACCTGGGACTAAAAAATTCTTTTACTTTAAAAGCTCTCCCTAGGCTGTAAAGCTAAAAGCACAATAATCCCTGAACTCACGACATGAATGTTACGATTACGGGACTGTAATGCTGCTGCTCTGTTAATTCCTACAAGTCCCGCTGCTCAGCAAAGCCCCACAGGACCCAAGCTCGGGAGCACGACAGCTGTGTAAAGATTTCCAGAGCGCGTAGACAGGGATTGGAATGACCGAGCTTCTTCCCGGCGAGGGAAGGCACCGCGGGGTGCTTCGGGGAGGCATGTCCCCTCCCGCTCCCCGCAGCAGAGGAGCGCTGGCACAGACACCAGCCGGGTACGGGAGGGAACAGCCATCTGCCCAAACCCCTGGTACGCAGCCGAGCGTAGCCTCACTGTTCCCTCTCCTCAAGGCAGACCAGAGCAGAGCGCACTGTTACAGCTCCATTAACTTTCTGTTGTCTTAAGCGAAACCCAAATTAGAAAAAACCCTCGACAGCCACACAAATAGAACGCTTCTCTCATGAGCCTTCTAATGGTCTTTAAGCAGGTAAATCACCTGTGTATCCAAAAGATCACCCCACAAGAAGCTCACTTGAGGAGCTACTGGAGAGAGTCCAGCGGAGGGCTACAAGGATGGTGAGGGGACTGGAGCATCTCTCCTATGAGGAGAGGCTGAGGGAGCTGGGCTTGTTCAGCCTGAAGAAGAGAAGGCTGAGAGGGGACCTTAGAAATGCCTCTAAATATCTGCAGGGTGGGTGTCAGGAGGATGGGGCCAGGCTCTTCTCAGTGGTGCCCAGCGACAGGACAAGGGGCAATGGGCACAAACTGAAGCACAGGAAGTTCTGTCTGAACATGAGGAAGAACTTCTTCCCTCTGAGGGTGATGGAGCCCTGGCACAGGCTGCCCAGGGAGGTTGTGGAGTCTCCTTCTCTGGAGATATTCCAGACCTGCCTGGACAAGGTCCTGTGCAACTTTGAGCAGACTGGTAACTGTACTACTCCCCCTGCTTCACCCACATTCATTAAACTAATGACAGGAAAGGAACTAAGCAACCAGTGGCTTCATGTCTCAAACACAGGAGCAGTGCAGGTGTCGCCCCACCACGTTGTCCTTCCCAGGGCCTCTGACAGGCCCGAGGGACACAGACGGTCTGGGGCAGCTCCGCACGCGACAGCCACCCCCGTGCCAGCGCCGGCTTCCAGGCACCCACACGCCAATGGGTAAGGAAACGGTGGTGGAACCAGGCCTTGGCCGAGACATTTCTTTAAGGTTTCCTGAACTAAATATAAACAGCTATCTTCGCCGTTCTTTTTAAAATTTCCTCTGCACTCCCCTCCAGTAATTATACTGTAATTGTAGGAGGTAGATGATTAAGTTTCGTTACTGAATAAGAGTCAGTAAAGTTCAGGGACAGATTCCTTTCTTTAGAAACATGTATACAAACAGAGGACAAACGTGAATCACGTCCCTAACTTTGGTGACAATGCATACAAGCCAAAGCGTTTATCCGCTAACTTACTAAGACTACGAAGGCTCTTTCTGAGAGTGGTTTACCTTGATCAGCTCATATCCATGACAGTGCTTTGTCCCACATGGGACAGCTCCTCAGTTACTTCTTCTAAGAAACCACCTCTGCTTTACACACTCCTTCCTTCCTTCCTTCCCCCCTTCTTCCCCTTCCCCAGTTTGTCCAAACTGGTCTGACACTGACACAGACTTCCTAAATTTTCAGTCACATCAAGTTAAAATATTTAAATAAAAAGCAAGCTGTTTCCTTTTTCATGCAAAGGACTTTCCCTTTGCTAAAAATGGCTGTCCTAATATAGTAATAGCATCAAATATACACAAAGGCGCTGTGACTATATAGGGTCACACGGAGATTAGAGAAAGTAAGATTTTACAGCAAAAAGTAAACTGCTAAAAATACGCAAATGCTGAACATCTGTTTGCAGACTAAACAAAGAATTGCAAAACCCAAGCAATTCACAAGAGGGCCCAGCCAAGCAAGAACACCAAACGCACATAAAATTACGGGCCTGATGTTAGGCACCCATAAAGCCATCCCGGTTAATTGCTTACAGCAGCACCTGTTCCCCTCGCACCCTGCGCACAGGCCCCAGTGCCCATCTGCAGCCCTGCAGCTCCCCCCCTTAAGTCTTCCCACATAAAATGAAACCATTTTCAGAGACACACTTTGACAAATGTAATTTCTAACGCTCTCTGCAAAGCAAAACTAGCTATCAAAACAGGCATTTTAGGTAGAGCTCTGGCCTTCACAAAGCACAGGGCTTACTTTTATGAGCTATACTATCTGCATGTGTCAAAATCAGAGAATCACAGAATGTTCAGGGTTGGAAGGGACCTCTGTGGGTCACCCAGTCCAACCCCCTGCCAAATCAGGGTCACCCCGAGGAGGCTGCAGGGAAGAAGTTCTTCCTCATGTTCAGGTGCAACTTCCCCTGCTTCAGTTTGTGCCCGTTGCCCCTTGTCCTGTCACTGGGCACCCCTGAAAAGAGTCTGGCCCCATCCTCCTGACACCAACCCTTAAGATACTTGTAGGCATTTAAAATCCACAAATAGTTTCCCTTCATCTTTCCAAGCTTCATCTAAACCACCAAATACTGCATTCCCACGAAGACCACGCCTGCCCAGTGCCAGCTGCCTTACTTGTGCAAGTGGGCTTGTAAAGGAACACAGCGAAGATGCAGTCGGCACTTGCATTTTCTCCGGCACCTTGCGCCAGCAGGAGTACCAGGAGGCATCCCCCTGCGTGCCATGGGAGGGTGGACTGCAGGACAGGGTATCAGGGCCGGCCTCCGCTCCTTCTCCCCCTGCTGTCGCTCCAACAAGGGCTGATATTGCCACACAATAATTTGGGCACTGCTCAGCGTGGTTTGCAGTAGCATTGCAAGAGCGCAGTGCTACTTGTTATTGCCCATCCCCAGATGGGCACTGCCTGCAGGTGGGTGCTGCCCGCTGGTGGCATAATAAAGCTCACAAGGGACAAGGCAGAAGCAGAGCAGCTCAGAAACGGTACAGACTGCACAGAGGCAGCAACCCCATCCGAAACACAGGCTCTGTGTCCACCCTGAACCCTCCGGGGTAAGTCTGCATCAACCCAGATACGTGTATCAACTCATGGTACTTGTATCGGCTCAGACACGAAGTGGCTACATTAAAACCTCTGCTTCTCCACAGCTCTCACTAAAACAAGGCTTGCCATTAAACTTGTTTTCCAATGAGTGACATTCTAATAGTTGTCTACCAAAAGAGCCAAGTCTTCCTGGCGCACAACAAACTACACATTGGCCAGTCTTTATTCTGTAGAGTCGAGCTGATTAGAAAACAAACATTTTTCAAGCTCTGTCTCTGTTTATTTTTAAGTAATTCTCAAAAGTCACCTTCTGACCTCCTGTGCATACAGATGCCCCTGGGTATTCCCGCCTGTGTCCTGCTAACACTGAGGAGCACACCCCGAGAGCATCACTCTGCAAGCGGGAAAGGTCCATCTGCAGATAAAGCAACACAGCTTTCAGTGCATCCGACATCACCCATCGCAAATTCCCTGGTGACAGCTGCGTGAGCCCTCTGCATCACAGCAGCTGGGAGAGAGCCCGATGCAGGGGAACACCACGTTTTCCAACGCCAGCTCAGGTTAGAACAGCTTTCCTTCCCTACTACCCACGACAGAGCTGCGTTGGCTCTGTCTGGTCTGGACTAAGCACCATGCTGCAGCTCTGCAACCTCAGCTGGAGGTTAAATGCAAGCGCAGAAGCTTTCCTCAGGGTGTGGTAGGGCCCAGACTGGGTTGCCCTGGCTGTTACCTATGGCCTGACCCTAAAGACAACCCATGCAGCCAGTGCTTTCCAAGCTGCCATTTTATTCCCAGGCAGCTGCAGGTTTTTTGCCCACGAGACGGGCAGCAAGTTGCAAGGGAACAGGTAGACACTGCTCAGAAATGTTTAACACCTCTAACCACAGAGCCAAGCTAAGCTGTAGTCTTACACAGCTGAGGCACTTGTCTGCCTTCTCTGCCTTTCCAGTCCAAACATTTCTCGCATGAAACAGTAGTCCTGTTGCAGAGCTCTGCACCTGCAGCATGAAGAGAAAGATGTGTCTAGCCAAAATTTCTCCTAGTGCAACGTGTACTGGCAAATCAGAGTGAACTTGGCCTTTCACTGCTTAGCAAAAATGCTTGGCAGAACAGCTGGTGAACTTTTTACCTAATTCTTTTCAGGGCACTCCTCAGCAGATACAGTAAACACAATCTGCTTACTGAGCAGATGATACGATGTTGTGCCTGATCAATATGTAATCAGGAGGGGAGGAGAGAGGCAGGCAGTCATCCTCAAGGAGCAAAACAAAGATACAGTTTCTTGACTGGACAGATGGAGGGACAACCTGATCTCTTATTACGCACTGCCATCTGGAAGACATTTAGCACAAACTGACCCCTGCCTTATATGCACCATCATTTTCCCCTGTCAAAGTGCACACGATCTGCGTTATATGACACCCCTGATGAGGAAATACATGGAAACAAAAGGAATTCATTAGTAAATAACTGAATATATTGGGGAAAAACACTTTATAATTGTATGTTACTGCAGTGAGACTGGAATAGCATCATGCCATCTACTAGCCCTGGTAACATTTCAAAAGTACGGCGCATGGGTATAACCAGCAAGCACTGACACAGAGACATGACACGTGTGTGCACTAGAGAATTTTTTTGCAGTCATACTGAAAAGCAGTGCTGCAGTATTTCTACACAAAATGCCAAAAAAGCAGTGGCTTTAATGTGATCAGTAAGACTTCTATAAGAATCTGCTCCACATCACAGGTGAAGAGAAGATGACGGATAAGGCCATGACATGAAACAACAAACACCACTGAAACTCTTCCTTTGGATAAGAAAAGCCCAGTCCTGCTATTACTGATCCTCAGTGTGAGCATAACCCTGCACATTTTAAGACCACTACTTTCATTTGCGATTAACACCGTGCTGTTACCAGGTGAGGTCTGAGCAACCCACAGAGAAGTCGGCAGCGTTTGTTACCACTGGAAGAGACCTGCGCCGTGCCCGTTTCAGACAGGGGCTAAAGCAGGGGTCCAGCCGCGCCGAGATTAACCCCTCTTCTGCCGATCAGCTGCATCCGCGGGTGGGCACACGCGGGAGCTGCTGCGTTTCTGCTGTTCTGCTGCACCCAGGAGCACCTCTGCACGGCTCACCAGGAAGCTGGCGAGCAACCACAGCCTGGACAAGAAAGACAGGCTCAAGGAGAACAGGTAGGCTTTTACGTCTAAAGTCCAACAAGGATGCAAAATAAAAGAGTAAGAAAAACAAACAATACCGACAAGAGTTAACTTGTGCAGCTTTCTAAAAAAAAAGACAAAAAAAAAAATAAAATCAACAAACACAGGTGAACTACCTGCAGCTGGATTCACTCCAGCTGACCACAGTGTACTGCACTTTCACCTTCCTCCGTTTTGGGAGCTGACAAACATCCCGCTTCCACAGTGAATACCCCCAGCTTGCAACTTTCTGGCACTGATCCCTTGCAAAAATCCTTGCACCTTCATCAGGGTCAGGATATGGAAACAAGAGCCAGATCCTGAGGCTGCTGCACGGTCTGTGTGCCCTCACCCCTACTGGGCTCAGCCCCCCCCGTATGGGCTAACTACAGCTCCAGCCCTCGCAGTCTACGCAACTCGGCTGACGCAAGGAACCCCGAGACTAACTTCTGGATGTCAAGGGTAAAAACATTTTAGAGAGAGAAGTTACGAAGTAAAGCAAAAGAAAAGGTATAATATAATTCACTCAAAATTACAGATCCAGATGAGAATGTGAACAGTGAATTCACGAGATTTACAAGCAGGAGTAAATTAAAACACTCTAGGACTGCTCTTCCTAAATGTTTCCTGCAGTGACACTTAATCATAGACAGCTTGTGTGCCTTTTTCCCTAAAAACAGCAAACTATCACCAACAAAGTCTTCTCTTTCAGACTGCAGTCCAGAGACCATATATAAATCTCCCTGGCACTTTTGGTGAGTCTTTTCTCATTCCTCTGCATTCAGAAAGTAGCTCATAGCTTCACCTCAATTACTGCTCACTTCTTTTTAACTGCCTTGCTACTATGGCAAACAATCCATTACCAAGAAAAGACAGAATCCACAAAAACCCATCAGTAACCCAATTACATATGTTAAAAACAAAGAAACACAACTCTTTGGCTAAAAACTTACAATAACTGGAAGAAATCCACACCATTAGCTTCCCACTGTAAGCTTCTCTAGATCTTCTTACCCTGATTGTAGGCAAAAGTTTGTTTCTCACAGATTCACTCCACCAGAATTAGCGACTCACCAGCTTGGGGACGGATGGAAGACCAGTACGGGCTGAACAGCAAAGTCACCCAGCTTTTAAGGTGGATTGAGCAAACCACGCAAGGTCCCTTCTGCCTCTGATATAGCACATTATTGCTACTTCAGCTAACCACTTTAATGCTAGCTTAAATATATTGTGCATGTTTACACTCCGCTGAATTCACAATGATTGAAGAGTAAACACACCCTACAAGGCTTCCTCTATTGTTGGCAGTTAGGACAAGCTCACACAGCCAAAGAACTTGACAACCCAACTGCCACCAGCACAAATTAACCAACAGTTTCCCTTCTTGGTGCAAGTAAATGCAGACAAAAAGCCCAGTGTCGAAGAGAGATGAGAGATGAGACACTTGAATGCTTAATAATCAGCATTATACCATCAAGGAACTTCTCAAAATTAAAGAAAATGCCCAAAGGATCAGTTACCCTGTACTAAACCGAAAAAAAGTATAAGCACCTAAAGAAATGTAAGGCATAGATTGCACCTTCATGTTGCCTGACCCTCCCATGTGCCAGAGTGATTCAATCTCAGGGACAGGTAAATGGCATCTTCCTTTGAAGGTTTGGATAGAAGGTGACTTAAATTCTGATGTAGACTTCCACTGACAGATGCTCCGCTGACTACAGCCGGACTCAGCAAACCCATCAGCAACTGGCCATACCAGACATATATCCACCCAAGAAGAGTGACAGCGATTTCTCAGCTAGCGCTGACCTCCGTGGTCCTCCAGCCACCCACACCAGTAAGCAGTCTGCAGCTGCTCCCCACCGCTCCAGCCGCGGCGGCTCGGTACAGTACCTTGCTGCAGTCAGCTCAGCAGCATCCACAGGGTCAGCATTTCCAAACACCGCAGGGACAGCTAAGGGTTGCTCGGCAGGATCAAGGGGAGAAGCCAACTGTATATCATCACCTGGCCCAGAAGGGCTGCAGAGAGAAAAAAAATGGAAAAAGGAAGCCTTAGAGGTCTGAGTTACTGCAGAACTGTTGTCATTTGGCTGTCGGAACCCCTGGGCTTCAAGGGAACGCAGCGAAAGTTGATGAAGTTGGTGTTTTTCACGTAAGTTGCTTTTGTGCACAGCTCTACTGTTCCCACCGGCCTGAAGCTACTGGATTTTTGTCTGTGTTACAACTGCAGGAGCAATGAGAAAGCACAATCCAACAGCAAATTCACCCCATTTTGATGATGACTTTAAAAAGCAAATAAGAAAATGAGCTACCGCTTGAAAAAGAGAAATAGCAAGACTTCCTCGCTTAGATACCACGTAACACAGGGCACTTGAGTCCGGCTTTGCCACGGGGCTGCGCGGGGGCTCGTGGCTGGGAGCCCAGAGTCAGACGAAGGTGCCCCAGGTGCTGCAGGAGCACACGCAGGCAGACCCCCAGCCTGGTCCCACACCCGGGCGACACAGGGCGCAGCCCAGAGCTAAGTGGCTAAAGGAAAACAATCTGGAAATGCACCCTTGAATAAATAAGGAAGGGAGCCTCGCTGAAGAAGGGGGTTTCATTTATTTTTAACAAAGACACCAAACCATGGGAATATTTTGTTGGTTACTTCAACCTGACTTTCGTATGTGGCCACTCAGAAACCAGGGCCCTGAAAGTGTTAGTTTTCCCTGGAACTCACTGAAATCCACAGTTTTTTGTACAATACAAAATATGACCATTAATTTT